AAAAGTAAGTAAAAATTAATTATAGCAATGCCAGAACAATACATTGCGATTAATCCTTTTGTTAAACTCATCCAGCTGAAATAATATATAGTTATATATGAAATTCAAACTTGGTTCAAAACATATGTGTGCCAAACGTAGTAGATTTGCGCGAGTTGCAGGTGAGTTTATACAACAAACACTTGAGAAAGTTAGCAAAACTTATTTCAAGTTTCAATTGCGCCCGCCCAACTTTCCACCGACCGCTTTTCCACGGACGCAATTTCTTTCCGAAGCCTTTTTATTTATTTTTTGATTTTCTTCTTAATCTTCATTCGTCCGTTCGCGCGCGGAGTGGACGCCAGCTCGAACTGGTTAGCGAAGTTAGGACATCGGAAGATTGGAACACCTTAGCGGAGTGCTCACAAACGTACACATTGACATATCCGTATAGTAGGTATATATGCAGGGGACAAACAAATTCCAACTGGTCCAGAGAAGTTCGAAGAGCGAATTTCATTAAAAATTTGTTTTTCTTGCGCGCAGCACGCTGATGCTTCCTTTTTTTCCTCCGACTGTCGATATAAATTCGCACGCGTTGAACAAGTCAAATTGTTGTGAATCGACAAAGCAAGCGCACAAGCCGGGGGGATAGCAGACGTAATGATCAAAGTTGGTTCGGAGCGGGTGTAATATAACAAGATAAATGGAATTTGGAATCAATGATGGAGTGTGCAAGTGATTCCTGGTCTCTCGGCTGAAATTAGCATCGTTTTATGATAACTTTGAAAAATGCGGAAGCGTCCACAAAAAAAAGGGGGAGCAAATGATAATATACAGGGTATCGTAGAAGAAATAATTCCCTACAATGAATAATACGGGTTGAGCAGTTCATTTCGAACAATATCCAAAATTAACACCTGTAATTATGGGTGAAATGCCAAAGTGACAATGGCCATGTAAGGTTTCCATTTCAAGTGCACATGATCCTAACTAAGGTAACCGTAGGCGTGTGCGTAAAGCATTCGTGAAGCACTAATAGTGCTGCCAGCATTAGGCACGCCGTGTTATTGTAATTGGAAAGCGTTTACTTGCATGTGACATGAAGCAGTCAGAATATAATATCTACAGTGTACGCTCAGCAATGGATCCACCAACAAATACACATCAACTCATTTCTATACATTAAACGTATCTTGTTCACTATATATTGAATAATATTATAACATGTTGATTGGTGTTAGTGATTGGTTTCTGTCAGAAAAAAAAACCAGGAAATATGTTGGATAAGTCTTTATCCTGTATACGATCGCTTATTGAGATTGTACTCCTATTCGTTTTATGAAGGTATCAGTCGTACATTGTGCATTGTAGGTGTATTGTACGCGGCGTTCCATTCGTGCGCCGCATATTATCCATCATCATCAACGTGGTGCGCGCGCGGAACGACTCGACTAGTTATGGGTGTGCGCTAGTGTTGAGCGTATGCATTGTTGAGTTGTTGAATTCCTGAATTGAATCGTCAGGAGCTGGGTGGAAACGTTGCGCGCTACTTTAATGATCGGTTTGTTGTGTGTGTGCGCGAGGGCAGGAAGAGAGTGGGGAGTCGCTATTCAAGCGTGGGATATCTGCCAAAGATGGAAGGGTATTATGACATGTTCATTAATATCCACACGTGAGTAGTAAAGAACGCTAATCACATATTTGACAGTGTTTCATTGCGTGTGCCCTGACATGATGATATAATATGATATTATTTAATATCGAAGCAGTCTTTGGAGCTTTATTTATAGAATGATCTTTTATGGGAGGTCTTCGGAGAGTGTTTACGTGGCCCAATTTGTAGAATGGCAAGACAATGCATATTTAGCAGCCTTTCGAACCCATTTTGGAAATATCACCTGAATCAAGTTGAGCCTAAAATATTGCGTTTTGGGTGCTTTCTTTGGCGCCTCGTATTTCGTGGGCTGCGCGCTTTAAACATTCAGGTTTGACCATCGACCGTGTGAGTCCATGTAAATGTGTCAATATGCCATTCCGGCGCCCATTGCGCTCCCAGGCCCCGGGGCTCCTGTTGCCCGCTTACTTTGTTATGCATGCAATGCGTCCTCAGCAGGAGGCCAGCGCCATCGAATATAAATTGTTCGTTGTGGCGGAAATTGAACACGCAGCACTGGCACCATCACCACCAGTCGTCCCACTACTACAAACTCTCCCAGTAACCACCCATCTAGTTGTCGCTACGACGTTTCGCCATTTATTCTCTTCATTCGACACCTTTTGGTCATTTTATCTCCACGTTTGGTCAAACAAGACACCCTCGACGTTGAAAGAAAACGTGGAATGTGTAAACACCCGGAATGCAATGCTCTAATTGCAAACAAATCATTACAGGCACTTACCAAATACTAAAATGTTTGATGTTGGGTTCAAAGCGTTACAAGCGCAGTAGACAGAGGTAATTTTTTTTTATTTCTCTCTGGTAACAAAAAATTTCTCTGCCGCATTATTAAAATAGTTGTCTCTCTCTCTGCGAGTAACTGAGCATGATGATAGTGAAGAGGTGATGCCCCGTCCAGGCCTGGTCAACTGAGTAATGACTATGCTCAGAATGCTTGGACGGTATCAACATGTATACTGTATTACCCGCACCGTGTGTACGGTGCATAAAGAGTTCAACATCAAAGGATCCTACTCTGGCTGCATATTCCACATTCTACGCTCAGCGAATTCTAACGTAGGCACGACCTGGACTTGCGGGATGTGCTGGGAGCTGGGGAGTAAGGGTAGCTTGGTTCTTGGTTTAAGTTGATTCTCGTTGGATGTGATTTAGATTGTTGCTCAGGGAAAAGCTGATTTACTACGAATTTACTACGAATCGAATTAAAATTAAAATACTACAACCCGAGCATTTCTTCCTCTATGATTTGATGATTTATTGAAAATCAATAAAAATGTTGAGTTCGTTATGAGATGCCTTATGCATTAGGTCGAATATTTCGAGCTGAAGGAGGGTCGTTAGCAATATTATTCCATTCTAATCACGTTTAATTCCGAACTCTATATAGGTTTTGTTCCGATTGATTTCGCAATTTCAGACCCCAACGAACAAACAAACAATTAAAATCACATCAATTATTCATCCTCTCCGCATTGTATTTATGCGCCGAGGACCTCCCATGCACTTTATATTCTGCCGGCCGATATTTCCGCAAAAAGCAAGGCTGAAGTAACAGCAAAAAAATGATCCGAAGCAAAAATAGTTAATCGGTAGCAATTAGTTGAAGCGTATTTTTCTCTGATCGTTTATTTGTATCAAATGCCGTCGGAATTATATGCGCATTCTTTCTGGTTTTCATTTGTGCCTTTATATTTTTTCCTGTGGCTGTGTTGGGTTGTATGTGTGAGCATATTGTGGATGGTTTTGATGAAACGTATAGACATTGGTAAGGCATTGCATATTTTTCATTTCAGCTCGACAATAGAAGCACATTTATCTGTCTTTCTGTAGCGCGATGCGGCAGCGCACCGGAGATAAATACGTGTCAATATTTATCAAGGCCTAAAAAGCCGATTGCACTTATATCGAAACTAGAGTGGGTGGGTTATAATATTGCAGCGAGCGGCAGAGAAAGCAAGCGCAGAATATCGGCAGTTATAGATAAAAGCAAATCCTGCGAGCTTTTCTAACGCACGGCATTTTTCCGTGCCCAAGGGATTGAAATTCTATTTGTACTTTTTTTTCTCCGTGTGTGTATGATAACGCACAATGAAACAAATATCGAAATTTAAAACGACCTCAATTTCTGCTCGGCTATGGTTGTAATTTGCAATATTTCAACGTGTTACAATTGCAAATAATTTATTACTTTATACAATTTGAAATCAACTTTTATTTCTTGAGTTTATTATTTTTACCATATCGAATAACAATAATAACTAAAATTGGTTTTCAAAATAAATATGAATAAAAAAATCCATTAGACCGTAAATAATCGTAAATAATTCAATGAAATAAATCCCGATAAACTAGTTTGATGAAAAATCACGTATTATATGTTTCAATTTGATCGAATTTTTATTTTGGTCGAAACAATTTGGCACGTATTAAGACAATGCGCCGAAGGCTCAAACGATGCCTGTTCGCTGATGAATTTTTAATGTTAATTGCCGTTGAGGCGCTAATGAATGCAACGTTTTATGCATTAATAATACCCCCTCGGTTGGCCATCCCATCGATAAGGGTATTCTTCGTCTTGCGGAGCTGCGGCCGACACTTTTCACTTTGCCAATCAGCAGCAAACCCAATACAACAATAAGGGGCCTCAACTATAACGCGTCGATCGATTCTCATCTACATCCAACAACGAATTAATTACGAATTAATGGATGCTGAAATTTTCCGCGCATATTAATTACTTTCAAAAGAAAATAAGAAAAGTATAACTTTCATATAACGTCGATACGCGGTGTTAAAATGGAATATAATTAGCAATTACAATTATTATCTATAAAAATATTAATTATTTGATGTAAAATTGATTCTTTCTGATACACCTTGTACACGCGATAATGTCATGTGAAGAAAATGAAATTCTAAAGCTAAGTTTTCTCATATCATCATGCACAACGCCCTTCTCAATATATACGTATAAGTTTCAGTTTGAATAAAGTTTTCTAAACGTTTCTGCGTCGCGTCGCCTCTGCATGATCGCCTCGGCGACGAAAGGGTTTTCCACGCATCCTTCTCTTTTCATCGCGCGCCACACGATAAACTCACTTTGTGCCGTACGATGCCGAGGTGGAAGAAGAAAGAAAAATGAAATACAACTTTTCATAGAAACTCCCAAGCAATTTTTGATGATTGAATGCTTTCGCTGAGGTGTTTTCCACAGTTTTTCACTTATCTTATATGTGTTTTTATAAATAAAACTTTAGGCGCAAAATAGAAGATTGGAAATAACAAATGTTGTTATCGTAACAATTTCAACATTTAAACTACATATTTCTATTTAACTTACCAAAATGATATTTTGAAGAATATCCTGGTCATCCTGAAACAAGAAAAAAGAAAAAAAGTTATAAAATATCCTAAATATATTTTTAGATTTTTTATATTTAAAATAATTTATAAAATTATTTGTTTTTAATGTTTTGTGCACACTCGGTCTTTCTGGTGCTCTCTGCTTGAATGTGGAAGAGTCAAGTCAAGATTCTATTGCCGGTGGTAATGTTACGATTGCTGTTTGCAATTTCTATGTCATTCCACCCTCGAAAAACGCACTATATACATTTGACGATCACGTTTATGCGATATTCATAATCCTCAGAGGCTTCCACTCTGTGCGCCCCGCATCCGGTTATCGCCCTCGCATTTACTATAAAAAGCACTTTATAAATAGCACTCGGAAGAGGGTCCTTCTTGGAAAACATATTGGCACTATTTCGTTTTTTCACTTTGAACTGCACCTCCCGAAATGGACAGGTGAATATAAAACTTTTCGGAAATAATTCAAATACACTCCGATTCGGGGTAAAAATCTAATTATTATTTTAATTAATAACAATAGCAGGTGGAATTGTGAATGTGAAATGCAAACACAAAAGAATGACCGGAATGAAAAGCGAGGATAAAGGCATCGGACGCAAAAGGAGATTGATCATATTTCCAAATGAAATAAAACGAAATTAGATGCATTCATAAATCATACAGAGAAACGCGAACGTCGCCGGCCTTCGCCGGATTTTCTTCACATCGGTACCGGAATACTGACCAAGCGTGCCCGCCGCTGTTATTCAACGTCTTATCGGAAGTTTTCGCTAGTATATAACGCGTTTGCGTTTTGCCGCACAGAAAGTTTGCATTCAGCGCGCGTCACTCGTGCGCACCTAACAAGGACCATGTTGTTGTGTTGCTGCGGTTTTTTTTCTGTATCACATTCACAACATAATAAATAACCGACGAATTTAGACGAATATAATGCAATCTCGACAAAACGGCGACGACAACAACATGGCGCCCATTACACAACGTGAGCTAGTATAGTAATACACACATGCTGGGCCCGATGCGCGAGCACTGGTAATTTCATTTATGCTTGAACTAAACAATTCATGTTCCGACGCATTCTCGACTCGAGAAATGCGAATTGCCGCACGGTTTCGAGTTAAACTCGGGGCGTCACTCGAATTGTTGTCGGTCGGCGTGAAAACGCTTGTTGTTACAAGGAGGTGGCGCGCCCACAGTTAAATGCAATCATTGGGCCAGACCCGTCTCTGTGAAATGTGACCATACTCAAATCAAGCACGCACTAAAATTCCCCACGTTCATAAAGTTGCAAAAATTTATTCGAATTGCATTCCAGCGCGAACAATAACCCCGCATCATTTGTCTATGACTGAATTGGATTTGAATAGTTCTTCGGACGGATCTGCTGCGGTAACTGTGATATATTCATGTCGCGTTGGTGTGCGGCGTAACCTCAAAGACACAATATTAAATATCTAAGCGGTTGAGGAATTACAGCGATTAATAAATTTAATTAGACAGACGACGCAACGCGCTGCGGTGACGGTACAATACTTAAATGTATATGAGGGCGAAACGACGATGTAAGTAGTTGCACATACTGCAATAACGGTCATTGCCTTCACCTTAAGATGCTCCTCGAGCGGGTCGCGCGCGACATTCGCACTACAACACGTCGAGGGTTGCCATGAAGGACAAAAACAAGCAGCGCGTATTATATCTAACACATTAAACTACACCAGCAAGCTTTAACGATTCACGCAGTGTTATCATTTTAATAATTACATAGTAAAGTAGTTTTGGGGTCCTAGAAGCGTAAAAATCTTTTATTTTTTTCCTCTCTCTTGTAACATGGAATAAACTTCATGTTATAAATATGTTACGAGTTTCGAATTGCACTTTCCACTTGTAGTTGGAAGGTAGTACTAATCTGGAAATAATTTGAGTTTTAAATTTAAACGAGGTATAAACAAGAATCAACAGAAACACCTAACATGTCAGTTTAAGACTACACGCTGGCAACCAGCGCACGTTGCAGAACTACTCGTCTCGAGTCGTAAAGTGGCAAACTTCCATGCACGCCAGTCGCGAAGTTCATGGCGATTACGTGCACCGAACTTGACAATGTTCGCAACATCGCGAAGTGGGCATGGTTGAAACTGCGAGTACTGCTAATGCAATCGGGAAGTTTTACAAAACGCGCACCAGATCCCACCATGGAGGGAGTAGTGCGCTTGGATTTGTGTAGATGTTTGAACGATTTTCCTGCAAACGATTACAAGACTGCGAAGAGGGAATTCAACATGAATCAACTCGTAAATTAATTTCACCTTACTCAACTATAAAATCAAAAATTTTGAATATTTAAAGTTTTTAATTTAATCACTATCTTGATGCATTGCAGTTGTTGAGTTGCAAGTTGATATTTTGCGTATGCAAATATAGTGACGCAATGCATTGTGACAATTTGAAATCGTCATACATCATCAATAATTACGTTCATCGATTTTGTATGTGTGCCCCCCGCGTCAACTTTCCCAGACCAGCCGAATTCACTGTCGCATTAAACAATGTTACACTGTTTGTGACTGAATGATGATTGGAGAAATTGGCCAAATGACGAAAACCTCAACGTGCACACACACCACCACTCCATTCCTGCGCAAACATCGGCAGGCCTGCCTGCACCGGCGGGAATTCAACAAACCTCACCGATATCCCACCACACATGCATATCGCTACCCTCTTCTCGGTGGGTGCGCTCGCAACGCGAAATGATGAATGGATACCGCATGCATGCCACAATGCGCGCTGAAGATACATTCGTTATTAGAACTAATTGAAATTTATTATTATTAGCATATCACATAGGTAATTATCCAAATTTAGACGATTCGTTGAGAAGGGTACGCTCACAATGCAAAAAATCTAGCTTGGCTGCACTAAATGCCCGGATGCACGTGGTGTCGCGTGCAGAAATTGAGAAAAATGATAAACGATTAACGCTGGAGTGACTTCCCCTCGTCTTGAAACGCCGGCGGTCTTCATAACACTTGTTTTCATTTATTACGACGGCCCAAAATTGAAATTTCCGTAGAGTTTTTATTCCCCTCGCACAATTCGATTTTTCTTTGTTTGGCGACGTGAACTTGAATTCGCAGCTTGATATGGTGTATAAAAGTGCAATTTAAGTGTGGCGTCACGCGTGTTAAATGTCATAGGGTGGAAGAAGATCGGATGGAAACATCTGTGTAAACGAGTGGGGCGCGCCGGGCGCGTTAGGACGACTGATGCACGGGATAAGATTTGCAAAAGTACGGCGTGCGTTTTAAATGCTCCTTTGTTGTCCAGCACTTCTATTAGCTTCTATTGTCCAGTGGACAGTGGAATGGACATCGTTAGAAGTTATACTTGTATTAGAGCCGTTATCGGAGTTAGACAAAGCGTGCAGTGATAAAAAGAAAGGAAAAATTGAGTTTTGACCACGTTACAAGTCAATTTTTGAATTATTTAATATATTTAATATAATTTTGTTTAAAAAAGATATAAAATTATTCTTTTTAATGTGAATTTTCTCGGGTGTAATATTTCATTCATTTGGTTGCAATTGTCACCGCGGCTGTCGCTACCACCGCGATCTTTGGCGCACATTTAATTAAAACCGCAAATGAAACATATAACTAAGTCGAATACGGCTGTTCGTTACAATGTAACACGTGCATAGAGTAAGCGATAAAATACCGTCGCCGCTATTCGTCTATTCAACAATTCCGTATTAATATCCATTGTCCCGAGCGTTAAGTTGAAATTTACTCAAAATTTAATATGACCCAGACGTGCTTTCAACTCATTATAAAACTAGTTAATTATCTTGTAGCATCTTTTGAAAAATCGTCCGCTGTTCGTTATCCGCAAAGAAAAGTATTTTAATCGAAAATTAAACCCGGTTTGTCCGCACTGCCTCGACCATCACACCGGTGAGTGGCCACCGCTAATGTTTGACTCTTTATCTAATTAGGTCAAGTATTTTTGCTCTCGAGCTGAAAACCACTCCAAGTCCTCGCCGTGCGCATAGTCGACAAGAAATAGAAACAGAGCGACAAAGAAAAACAACATCGTTCGCAGACTGGTAGACGCGAATCGGTGGCAACCATAGAAAATTTTCTCATCAGTCGATATGAAGGTTTGTTTTGTTTGTGTTCGGCCCGCGCGCAAAAACTTTGATGAAATAGTGCCGATGCCACTGACAGTCAGTGATCTAACTTCGGTGTATCTGTAACACGGCTCTCGGGGCAGCTGCGAGTAGTAATTTCCTACGGATGCGCCTTTTTCGTTATTAATTGATAGATAATTGCTTGATAAATGGAACAAGAATTAATAAACGTTTTACTTTGCGCTTTTCCGCGCTCAGGCGGCAATGCGAAGCGAGTCCTCGACTTCTCGTTAACGTTCGATATTTACTAATCCGATTTCGGTGTAAATAGAGTGCAAAAAGTATTAAACTATTTTTGTAGTTTAGCTACAGAGTGTTTTATTTTGGTAGAAATGTTTTTAAAAATATTTTTTGGTTAAAAATTGTTTTTCATTGATGTAGAAGAATGTAGGACGAGTTTTGCGCTATACTATAAACTAATCCCTTATTTTGGAAGCGTAAAAGGTGGCGGTGGGCATTCCGTGTCGTTTTGAAGCTTTTTGGATTTTCGGTTTTAACGGTCTCCTTGATTTCCGCCACCCCAAGACCGGATATGGGCCTGTTATGCGAGTAGGCATGTGAGGAACTTTAAAAAGGAAATTTCTCATCTCTTTCGGGGAAGTTTAGTCGCGGCCAGACTGAGCAGTGGCGCGCGCGCGCGCGCTGCACGGAAATCTGTTGGAAATCCCCTTAGGCTAAGCTTTACACTCACTCCAGAACGACAACGATAAGTCCGTCGGCGGCGACGCCGACCATACAAGAACGACGACTCGGCCAAGCCTCCCAGAGTTCGACCGCGGCCAGGAGGAAGCGCGCAGCTGAACTCGAATATCCTGCTACGCAAGAAAAACAAGACGAGGGCTTTACAGAGAAAGAAGAGATATCTCGAGAGGAGATGAGAAAAGTAAAATCCTTCTTCGCGTCCCCGTGCGCGCCTAGTACTCTCTAAGTCTCTCTACACAACATTCTGCACTTTTAACTTTTTCTTTTAATTTTCCTTCCATTTTCGCGGCGCGCGCTTATTTTGGCTTTATTTTCACTTACATATTATCTCAAAATGTAGTTGTTTATTTTATTCCAAAAGCTCCTTATCGTAATTAATTGTATGAAACACCCTTTGAATAAAAATCATCAACAAAAAAAACAAACACCAGTTTAATTACGATGTTAAAATAGATTTCATAGTGATCAATCGTAGATTTTTTCGAATATATCGCTCACAGTGTGCATTTAATTCTTCACATTGTGTTTTTGCTTTGTCATTTACCAAAAAAAATGGTTTAGCGTTGTAGTATCAGATGAAAATGAACTGAAACACACACACGCATAGAGCGCGCGCGTTTTTCCAACGTAATTGTGACGACAAATTAATATATCACATAAAATATTCATACGCATTCCGTGTTTGTTTTCGGCTTTCGGTTTATGTTTGTGATAATGTTTGCCCTGGCGCTCTGCAACGCGCATCGCCAACCCACACCCCTGAGTGCCGCCTCGTTGTTACCCCATCAACGCGCGCGGACTGTGACTGGAGCGATTCATCATAAAAATGCCAACGTTTGCATAAACACATATCGCGCGCTGTGGGTGTGTGCACATAAAATAAAATATTTGCAAACACATATTTCTCGCGCAAACCCGGTGTGACCGAAAGTTTTCCTCGAGTTCCAAATTTTTCTGACCTTGGCGACGTGTTTGCACACGCACCCTGTGATTTTGTGAGTGTATATAATATTTTACCAACATAATAATGAATAATGAGAAGTGAATTACTCACAATTATGAAAAGAGCGGGCCAGCGCACCTGCGAATAATTAGAAACGCTTTGTAAACGTTGAAATTTCTTCTTTATTTCAGCGCTACGGCGCCTGCCATGTTGTTAGCACCTGTTATCAAGCGTGTAGGTGTGCGGGTGTATGTTATGCAAGGAAAATCGTCTTCTTGTTTAACAAATTAGCAACGACGAGGCCAGTATTTTATGCTTTTAGCGGCGAGCAAAGTACTGCGCACTAAAAATAGAAAATTGCCTTTTTTCGACGTTTGGCGTAGAAAACATACGTAGAAAATATCATTATCATAAAATAATCATGGAATAATAAAGTGTGATGACTAGAAACGTCATAATTCCACAAAGTACAGTTTATGTTTGTCAGTCGACAAGTTTCGCTGATTGCCGACACGGTTCGACGGCGGTGGTAGCAAAGAAAGCGTAATTCAAGTATGGGTCTATTTCATTTACGCGGTGCGGTGGATTCGGCGGCGGTGTTAATTTTCCCCAACATTTTCCAGTAAATTTCCTTCGAATGGCCGCGACGCCGTGAAGCATCGCGGCGGGCGCCCGGCCACCGCCACTCAGCAGCTCCGCTCCACCGATTCTTCGCGGCGCGCTGTTTCCTGCTGTTCATGCCGGCTTGCTCATACTTTTTGAATCCGACACCCTACAATGGGCCACGCGCGCTGCCCCCCAACCTAGGCGTGCAACAAGCAAGCGGCGGCGTGCGACCGTTTCGCGTTGCGACTCACCACACAGTCAACGCCGACACTACTGCGCGACGGCATAGTTATGGCCCGCGGTGCCGGGGAGACGAAATGAGTGGTTGCCGCCGCCGCCGCCGCCGCATTCTCGTGCGCCCTCTCGTTTGTCCATAAATCTAACGTTTCATATTTACAACCCACTTCTCTTTCTTCTCGACAAGCCCAAAACTACGGTGCTACCGTTGCGACGACAACAAGGACCATGCTTTATAAGGACGAAGGAGATACTTCACGTTCATTATTACATGTACTGTTGGGTCCTTCTGCTTTATATCTGATACGTTTCCTCGTGTCTTGCCCGAGCATCATGTGTTTTTTTAGGACTCTTTCTTGAACTGATCATTTATCTTGTGTGTTTCGGTTTTTTCGCTCGACGAAAATGTACCATTAAGGCAAGTTTTATAAATCATTGATCAATATGCAGTGATATAAATCGAAAGTTAAAGATATTTAGTAATTTATTTGTATCTCTGAATTATTTAGCTTAATTTTATGTCTATTTTATTTAGATTGTAGTACAAAAGTTAAACAATGAAATAAAGGCCAGTACGGTTTCATTAGGAATTTAAATTTAGTATTTTTGGTAATTTAGCAGATAATTTATAACATAAAAAGTTTTGTTTTCTCATCGACCTTGATGTAACCTTTCTCAACAAGAAAAATCAACACGAAATTTTTCATTTCATGCTGTCGGGAATTAAATAAAAGCAATAATATTATTGTAGGCTTATCCATTCTCTGAACACAAAGCAATTATTTAGTATAGCGCATTTAGTAAAATGAGCCCGGTGCGTCTGTTATTTTAGCAACTAATAGATACAAATGTTTCAAACGATGCGTGGGATAGATTTGACATAAGCAATTAGTTATATTGCAATAACACGAACAATACTATCGACGCAATAAACGGTCATCGTCATCAAAGTTATTTCGCGCCGCATACACCGGCTGGGTGCGTATTCGCAAGTTGGCTTCTCGCCGCGTGCGTGCGGGATACAGGTACGGAGGAGAGTCGAGTGTGCGCGCTGGGAGCGTCACGACGCCACCGCCGCCGCCGCGGCTGCCGCGTGAGAGAGGGGGGTCGAAGCCCGGAAAAGCGCCAGTACCAAGGGTGGTGTGTTAGGGGCGCCATCCTAATCGATGTCCATAATAACCAGCGATACGAAAATCACGTCGTACGTTCGGTCGTACTCTTCGCGATCTCGCGGTGTGTTTGTGCGCGCTCACCGAATTCGTTTTCGAACATGCGACACAAAATATGATGACGATAAGTGTAAAACGCAAAGTTAATAGTTCATAAACTAAATAAATAACTTAATAACAATTTCGTCGGATTCGTCAGTGTTCATGCATAAAATTTTATTTTCGCAGAAAAAAATGTGTGTCTAGGTTTTTGTGCGTTCGTTGTGACACATTTTATTATTGTGTCAATGTAGTCAATTTTCTACAAAATAACAATATGAAGAAAGTTTTATCCTAACGTGTGTACAACTGTTTTTTGCGTCCTGCGCGCGGCAAAAGGAAAAATGATGCTCAACAAAGTTCGATCTATTGACATGTTTCCAACGTGCTGGATTTGCGTGGTGTTATTATCCTGTGTAATCCTTTGCGTGGATTTAGTGTCAGCGGCCAATTTAAAAGACGGTGAGTGTCACCTTTTTTCTATGGAATTTGCACCCGAAGATGAATAGCTGTTGATTCTTAATTTTTCATTGCGACGCGAAATCCGGTAGCAAAACAAAAAATAAATCAGTGACAGTTTGTTTTTGGTGCCACCGCCACCACCTCGCCAGAGCGCTATGTAGAAGCTCGGCGGCGGCGATGCCGGTCGGAACACAAAAAATGCATATAAATCGTCGCAAATCAAGTGTAAAATTTGGAATAAATTACGAGCGGGGATATAAATCACTTGCGTCGGCATTTTTCCATATAACTTTCGCTGTTCGGATATACTGCGAGCCCTAGCTACGAGTTTGAAAAATAATATACTAAAATGCAATGCGGGGCGTTAGTTTTCAAACTTGAAAAACTTTACAATATTTTTTTAAACAACAAAAAACGCTTTTACAAAATTCAAATAAAATTTAATTTAATAATGATTAAATTATTATTCATCAGAATATGAATAATTTAAATAGCACTTTCAGAACGCAATCAAAAATTAATTACAATTGTTTATGAATTAAAATAAACTATTATACTTAGTAGCATTGGTTAAAATTACACCACAAATTGCTAATTAAATTTTCAACAGAAATTAACTTATTTAGTTTTTGAGCGCATTTTAACTACTGTTACTCGTTGAAATTTGTAAGTTAAAAGCGTTGCGGAAACTTATAACCGTCTCTAAAATAGTTTATGTTCATTGGTTCATGTAAAACTTATTATAATCGTGTACTACCTGCGCGTTGGCTTTTTGTAACATAAGAAAAAAATTCAGAATTTCACAATCGTAATTTTTGCAATTCCCGGAGCGTTTTCCCACGGCGCTGTGCTCTGCTGTGCGCACATACAGTGTGTATTACAAGCGTGTCTCACACTTTACAAGAATAGTCGACAAATCTCGTCCGCGTGAGGACGCGAGGCGCCGAAAATGAAGTTCGCAGAGCGCACAGTGGCTGAAAAATGGCACCCGCCGGCGCTTTTTTTTGCTTTCTCTGCAGCTGTCTACCTTTTTAACTTTATATATTTTTGTTCTCGTGCGGAGGGCCTTTAAAAATTATTTATTCATTCAGGAAGTACGCGACCGCTTGCTTCCAGCGCGCGGCGTTTTCACGATTTTTTACTTCGAGTGCGAGCCGCATTTTCGTGGACCGACGAGCGCGGTTTCGGTTACAGTTACATAAACACACTCGAAGAACACAGCGCCCGCCGCAAATCCTCAAGTGCAACAGCACAAGCACCTGAAAAATGCAGTAATTAGTATGCATTTTGCTGTAATTGTTTTTTGTTGCGAAAGTGTGGCGCGGCCGGTGCGAGGATTAGTCGTAGAAATAGTATTATAGTGGTGTGGTGTGGTCCTCGAGCAAAACGCTAAGTAATTTGTCCACGCGAATTCATTAGCGAGACTTTCGTGCGCACACGGTGTGGTGGTGCTGTTGCCAACCAGCAGCGGTACGGATTTAAACATCACTTTGTTTCCAGCAGTAATGAATTCCATTTGGATTTACAAAACACCGGCAGCCGCGGACGGCGACTGTTGGAGAAATGCTTCATTTTTATCTGTGCGATGCACTATTTGCATAAAAATGTTGCAGCATCATATTTATTATGCAACAATTTACTCGTCGCATTAAATAGTCTTAAATATTCATTATTAGACATTTATTGTGCATTTGAATGAATGCAAATTCGCAAAATTTTTATTCCAAAGGTAAAAATTGTAATATTTTGCGTTTTCCTTGGTAATTAAAAAGGAAAATTAATATGTTTGATCATGTGATGAAACTATGCAAGTAATACGCAGTTATGTTGGTTTATCACTCGTGAATTGTACTCTGGTGTGCGAATCCAAAGTGGCGGAAGTACGTGTGGTCGGCTTTTGAGTAAAATCTATAGTTCGGAGGCAAACACATTAGATGCGAGCGCGAGCGCGCGGGACGATATTCACGCACAATTTATTACTTATAAGGTTAGGTCAGATCAGATTTAGATAATTCCCATTTGCAGATAATCACGACCTCCGGTTCGCCGGTGCGCGTGCGACTCTTGGAAGAACACCCTTTCCATCTGACTATTACTATTGCCATCACTATAAACGACGCCCGAAAACGACCTATTCGCTATTATTGTGTGATACTTAACAATTTCCGCCGGCAATAATAGGCAAATCTAAGAGAAAAGCTATAATGGAATCAAGCTACGTACGCGCATTAGCCAAAGATTAAAATGGCCCAAAACTATTACTCACTTAATGTGGCGTTTGAGATTACACTGTTTGACCACAGAGTGGCGAGGTGCGCACAGCCCACATTTTGAATTATTCGATGAAAATTTCTTTATTTTACCACAAGCGACATATAATCTTCCATAAAACGCTTAACCTCTGCTACCGGCCAGTGTAGAACTGACAGTGCTACTTTGGTAGCAAACTGCAAATGCTGACAGTGCTGTAAAAACTAACTGGTAACGAAAGAAATAGGAGCGCGGAGGGCGCACACGAAACGTCGATTTCAGGACGAATGTGCTGTAGCGCCCCGACAAACCCACGAATGCGCTGCGAGCTTGTTGGGAGCGAAGAAAATTGATGAGAGAACAAACCGCATTGCCGCTACCGCTGTAAGCGCAACCCCGAGTTGAAAACATTTAGCTTTTCGACATTTTTCATCAGAGAAAAAAGCGCGCGCGCACAAACGAAAAGAGTCGAGACAAAGTCGCTAATTGCAAATACTTCTTCTTGCTTTAATTTAATAAGTTTTTATCGCATCGATCCAATGCCACAACGCCGAAAGTACCTGCAGAGATGTGTTTCACACAAAAAAATTGTTTAAAAGATTACAGCGCGCCTGTGCGTTTTTTTGCGAAAACTCAAGTCCGGGATAAGCTTATAGTTAATGCCAGCGGAACTTTTTAGCAACCCTAATTTAACCCTAATTAAATTCTATACGCACCGGTGATTCTAATTTCTTTTACAATGCTGTTAACACAGATTACGTGCGCGCGAGGCGGGGAAAAATCGCAATCGCCGTCGATATAGGTAGAAGCGGAGCGAGCGCAAACCAGGAAATAGGGCGGGGGCTGAATAAATGTGAGGATAATTGATGGAAATTGGCGTCCACCGGCGGCGATCGTCCGTACACGAAATCACTTAGATCGAATCCAATTGAATAACAATTTTTGCTGCAGCAATTTTCCGTCGACACACAGAGAGGAAAAAAAAAGATTAACTGAACATGAGCGATCGGACGATGAACTGTTTGTGCAGTGTGGGTCGTCTCTTTTTTGTCGAGACAGTTAAAAACCAATTTTGACACACACTTTACCCTTCGAGTGGATAAAATGAACACCCGCACTTCTTTGTGTGCTGGACGCGCCGCTGACCGCTCGAGATTTTTTTCCCCGGTCCTCTGCGCTCGTCGTATCTACGCACTCTTTACCGGTTTTACTATAGGTGATTGACACATCAATAAAAACCAACATCCGATGACGCGCAGATAACAAGTGTCTGACCGCCATTTCAGACGTCTCTATGTGTCACGAGCATTAAAGCCCCTCTTCCCGATGGCGCACGGTATTTTTAGCGATGCGCTACGTCCGAGAGTGATATTTGTATAGGGCTAGCCGGAAAAATACACGTCGGGGTGGAAATTTGGGCAAAAAAGACGAAGAGCACGCCGACGAGAACACTGTGCGCATAGATTGATGGTGTCCATTTCGGCGGGTTTGGCCCTTTCGCGCCTTTCCTGATAGTCTCATATTTTCATGTCGCGCCGATGTGCTTTTATCCGATGCGTCCCGCGACGAGGGAGCGGATTCCTCCGGAGAGCTTGCATAAGTTAAAGAAGAGTGGAATATCACTGAAAGCAGATCATGCATGAATTACGAATTTTATCGTTTCAATTTTTTCCCCGACGAGTTTTCCCCAAAGTGTCGAAAAAATAGTTTCGAAAACCATGTTCAATTTAAATTCGACGAAAAAAATGCTTCCATTCGAGATTTTTTGATTTTTTAATTAAACACACAACGGGTGCACGTAATTGCGCCAATATATCGTAGCAAAAAATAAAAAGTAAAAACTAAACGGCGGTAAATTATAAATGTAGCTTGTTTGGAAAATGAGAGAGTTGCATCGAAATCAGGTACAACACACAACTAGATCTCGCTAAAATATAGAAAACTTTTAGATAACTCGTACCGAATAAACTTTCCCCAGCGCTCTCTACTGTATTTTTAATGGCCAGGCAAAAGTTTTCGATTTATGTTAACGTTAGCCCACCCGCACAAGGGCTATGCGTGTGGCGCGACGTTTTTACGCGCGTCGGCAGAAAAGTGCAAATCAAAGAAATCGCTAAACGTGTCAAAAAGTAGAAAGTTTGTCGAAGGTTTTGACGAAAATGTTAAAGTGTGACGCCTGAGCAACAACGGAAACGCAATCCGGCGAAGAAATACACGAAAACTGTTTCTCTCGTAATCGAATTACGGAAGGAAGAGTAAAAAATATATACCGAGGAGAAAAAAACACGCGCAAAAATGATACGCTTCCAGAACGATGGCGATGATTGAAAGGCAAAAACAAAAACGTTGCGAGACTAAAAGCATCAAAGTATTAAAACATGAGATAAGTTTTGATTAAAAAGTTTCGCGCTGACTTCTTCCAATAAAAGCGAAAGTAAATGTTATTTAATCATAAAATAATATATGAACGCGAGCGTTATTTATACGAAAATCGTATTTAAAGCTTGGCGCTGAACTTTTACATTTTATTCAATGAATTTATTCGGAAATTGAAAACTCATAATTTAATTTCAATTTTATTCACTCATCCACACAACAATTACACGCTGTAATTTCATTTATTTTAATTTCCAATACTTGTGAAATAACTGACGCGTGTTAATAACTAAAAAAGAACTTTATGAATACTGCCAATCATCTCATTATAAATTTGCGCCCGAAAAGAATTTCATTTCATTTGTGCTTAAATT